CTCCGCGCTTTCACCGAGGGTGTGATCAGGCGCGGTCCCTAGAGGTGGTAGTGAGCTGGGCAGTTGGGGAGTGCAGGCGAAAGGGGTGCTTGCTGTTAGAGCTTTGCGAACAGCTTTTGTGTTTCTCCCTTTTGCAGGATATGGGGAAGCGGGGTAGTTGGCTGCTCTCTTTTTAACCTACTGCTTGTTTTGCTTTTCCTTCGCTGGGGTGGGTTAGTAGGTGGTTGTACTGTGTTTGGGGCAGTGTTTTCTGAAGTTAGCCAGACTTGACGGGGCGGGGGGGGAAGGTGCTGTGAATACCAAGGAAAGATACCTGCAGCCTATCACTGCCTGTTTGGCAGTTAGGCTTCAAACACCTGTCCACAGATGCTACTGCAAGAGCTGTCAGGACAGTAGTATTCTTTTCCATAGGGATAGTCAATGCTGCTGTTGTGCTTGAGCAGCCAGCAGAAATCATATGTTTGTGCAGGCACCCCGTCCATCGACAGGCCCTCACAAGCTGAGGGAGTGCCTTCCACTCATCATCTTCCTGCGGAACAGGCTGAAATATGCTCTGACAGGAGACGAAGTCAAGAAGATTTGCATGCAGAGGTTCATCAAAATAGATGGCAAAGTCCGCACAGACATCACCTACCCTGCAGGCTTCATGGGTGAGCAGGAAGGGCTGGGGGAGGTACCTCAGGCAGCTCTGCTGCACTGGTGGGGGATGTTTTGTGAGGCTGGCACAATCTGGGGGGAAAAATGCATTCATGATGGAGTCAAAGGAAAAGTAAGTACAAGCAGTTGTTGTTTGGTTTGGGTTTGTGCTCTGTTATGAATACTAAAGCGTGGTATCTGTAGTCTGTAATTGCCTGCTTTACATATGTGTAAATTGCTGTTCAGACTTCAGCCTTTGGCAGTTTTTGCTTATTTGCACTGTATCACATGAAAAGCTGTGGGCTTGTGGTCAAAAGGAGATGGCAGCCTCATCATTCACACTTGAAGCCTTGTTCAGCAGCCCCTAGTTCGTTTTAAATATGAGCTTGGTGCTGAGTTACAATGTATTGTAACTCGTAGCTGATAACTGCTATTTTATGTTGCTCCCTGAAATCAGATGTCATCAGCATTGAGAAGACGGGCGAGCATTTTCGCTTGGTGTACGATACCAAAGGCCGGTTTGCTGTTCACCGCATCACAGCTGAAGAGGCCAAGGTGAGGGGCTTAAGCTTGGCATAAATGTTGGCCCAGTTGGGTTTGATTGGGATGGGGTTTCCTTTTTGGCATGTCCTGAATGGGAGGTGCTGGCTCTCTTCCCTGAGAGCTGAGTCTATGCCACCCTTGAGAAAATCAGGGCCTTCAGGGTTGGAGTATGAAATCTTTGGCGGGGGGGAATCTTTTGGTGACATGAAAGCAACTCCCAGGTGACTGCAGGTGCATTGTCTGGTGCTTAAAATGACATCTGTTCGCATGGGCTGGGTTACTTTCACAGGGAGCTTTGGGGTGGCAGTGGCTCTGGTGTGGTGGACCTTAGCACAGGACTCTGCAAGCTAAGTGTGATCTGAAACATGGTACTGCCTGTGGTGCAAAAGCCGTGAACTCCTTCCCAGGTCTGTTATGGAAGTGTTTACAAAACTGCCCTTTGGCTCTCAGTGCTGGGGGGTGATTCCCACATGTATTTCCTGAACCCACGTGTGTTGGTGTGCCTGAACTGGAAGTCTGTGCTCCTCTTCACCTGTTCTCCCTAAGGCCAGGCTGTGTAAGCACACAATGATGCTGAGGAAAGAGCCAGCTGTAGTGTGCATTTGGGGACTCTACCCACCCACCACCCCCCCCTTTCTCCCCATGGTGTGTTTTTACCTCTGGCTACCACTCTCTGTTGACCCTTGGGTTCCACAGTGGCTGTGAAGGAATTGGGGTGAAAGGCACGAGGGAGGCAGAGGTGCTCTGGAGGAGGGACAAAAATATCTCTTGGATCCTGAAAAAAGGCAGCCTCTGCCTCTGCTGCACGACCACAGGCTTCAGGGCAACCTGAGGGAATTGCCCTGGTGGAGGCTTTCCTGGGGAATTGAAGCCATAGCCCGGGGTGAGACTGAGGAGGAGGCATTCCCTGACAGGACTGGAGCACGAGGCATTGCTGGGGCAGTGAGCTGGGCAAGTTGCTGCCTGGGCTTCAGTTGCAAGCCTTTGAGCACCCATGTGTTTTGCTTTGGGTCTGAGGCCTGCTGTGGCTGGCGACTTTCTAAGGGACAAGAGTCCCTTAGTCCATGGTGCTGCTTGTCACCCTAGTTGAGCAGTGTTGGATTTTTTTTTTTTCTTTTTTTGCAGTACAAGTTGTGTAAGGTGAGGAAGATATTTGTGGGCACCAAAGGAATTCCTCATCTGGTCACTCACGATGCCCGCACCATCCGCTATCCGGACCCCCTCATCAAGGTGAATGATACGGTCCAGATTGACCTGGAGACGGGCAAGATCACAGATTTCATCAAGTTTGACACAGGTAGGTCTTGCATCTCATGTAAAACACTGTATTTTTCCCCACTGTGGAAAGCTGTGTGGAAGTTCAATGTAAATGCCAGGGATCTTTGCTCTGAAGGAGGAAGGCAGTGGTGGCAACCTTGGGAAAGGGGTGGTTTCCCTGGAGCATCTCCACCTGGAGGAGGGATTCCTCCTGTGTGCTGGCAGTGAGAGGCATTTGGCATGGGGGCTTGGGGTGATGCCATGAGAAAGCAGGCACCAGGTGGAAGCAGCAAGCTGGTGGAGAAGTTGCTTGAGCCTCGCTCTCATGGGAATGGAAATCTGGGCAGTTGTAAGGAGATGCTTGCTGTGGGAGGTTTCAGTTGCAGAGCCATAAGCAGTGCCAGCACAAGTGGTATGGCAACACTTCCTTGGTGCTGCTGCAGCTGAGAAGGTGGTGGGAAATGTTTGGTATGGGCATCAAGGCCAGATTGCTGTTTGGCTCGTCAGGTGCTGCCAGGATTCCTATGGGATGTAGGTGTTACCAGGTGCTCTGGTGGCTGCTTTTGTCCCTGCCCTTCTTCAGCAGTGCTCCTCAAAGAGCCCAAGCTGAAGGGCATTGCCATGGCATCTGGTACCAGCTCTTGGGTTTTGTTCGCCCCAGGTAACCTCTGTATGGTGACCGGTGGTGCCAATTTGGGCCGTATTGGGGTGATCACCAACCGGGAGAGACACCCAGGGTCGTTTGATGTGGTTCACGTGAAGGACGCCAATGGCAACAGCTTTGCCACCAGGCTCTCCAACATCTTCGTTATTGGCAAAGTAAGCCTGCAGGGACACAGGGCGGGTGGGTTCTCTTCTATTGTTGGGGGCTGCTGGCTGAAGCAGAGAGGCCTTAGTGTCTTATGTGGGCAAGTGCCTTCCCGCACGCTCCCTGTGGTGTTGCCTGCTCTGGGAAGGGGAAGCATGTATACATGCATGAATGGGGACGTTTACAAGAAGCAGCTCTGTTGGTTTTTAACCTTTATGAGAGTTGGGAGCTGAGCAGTGCTCAGATCATCATGTGACCTGGGCAGCCCCTCCAACTGAGGGTGCCCTCTGCCCCCAGTGCCTCTGGTGTCCTGCCATCCCTGTGCAGGTTGGAAAGGGATGGTGGCTCTGTTTTGGCTGAAGTGCATTCTTCATGGATGTGAGTGAAACTGGCGGATGTAGGCCCGTACACCTTAGGCACCTTCTTAAGAGGCTTCTGGGTCAATGCCACAGCCATGTGTATGTTGCTTGAGCCTGGCCTAGCATGAGCAGAGGCTTCTGCTGCTTTTCCCCCTTTGAGGGAGAGCTCTGTCCCTGTCCCTGTTTCTTGAGGTGAGCTGGCTTCTTCTCCTTTCCTGTAGGGCAACAAGCCGTGGATCTCCCTGCCCCGTGGAAAGGGCATCCGCCTGACCATTGCTGAAGAGAGAGACAAGAGACTGGCGGCCAAGCAGAGCAGCAGCTGAACTCCAGTTGGGGCTGGCAGTGGTCCTTTCACTGTACGAATTAAAGTGTTTACCAACTGGCTGTGAAGCATCGCAGGGCTGGCGGGAGCTGTGGTGTGCCAGTGCGAAGCTACACTCTCCAAAAGGGCCTGCTCATCTGGGGAGACTTGTGGCAATCAGAGCAACTGCCATGGCCCTTTTCCAGAAAGGCAAGGAGGAGCCGTGGTAGAACCTCCAGGGTGATCTGTCCCTGGAAGGTGTTAGCACAAACACACCTGGATGTCATTCCCAGGGGCATGCTGGAGGACAGGGGACTAGGAAGAGCCAGCTGGGCTCTCCCAGGGGCCAGTGGTCACAGATAGGCATGAAACCTGGGATTGTCGCCAGCTGTGGGATTGAGGGCAGCGGGGATGCTCTGTGACCAGCACCAGGGCTGTGTGGTGCATTGGCTGGTTAGTTCGTCTCCAAGGGTGATGGCATGCAGCAACCTCAGCTGGGTTGGTGGCTGCCTGCTGAGGAGGTTCCTCACAGGCTGCTCTTAAGTGCCTTTCCTCCGGAGGTGGAGCTTGCAAGGGGTCACAGTGATGACCAGGATGGGGTGGTCCCCGGGCTGCCAGTGGCGGTGGCAGTACTGGAGGCTTGGCAGTTCTTAGGAGGGGCTTGGCCGGGACCATAGGAACTCCTCTAAAGTTTAAGCAGCAAGTATGGTTCGGGTGTGGGTTCTGGGTTGGGCTGGTTGAAAGAGTTGGTGTGGTCTCAGCTAGGGCGCAGGGCTACTGTGTGAGTGGGTCGTGTGCTGGGGTCAGGCCAATCGGGGGCGGGGGCTTGCACATACATTAAGGTGCGGTCTAGGCCTCTGGGCAGTGCGCTCAGGCAACCCAGAAACCAGCTCCTCAAGTGCAAGCGTCCAGCCCCTGTTGCTAAGCCTCAGGTACCAGGACAGAAAGCTGGTGCTCAGACTCGCCTACACATGGTGAGC